TTGGACCAGGCTGTTCCTCGGAGGCAAGGATTCTGAAGCTTCTTCTGACACACTTTTGGACATGCTGCAAGGTGGGACCAGTCCTTGGAGAGGGATGTCATGCTCGGGAGGGTGGAGGAACAGTGCAGGAGAGGAAGAACCTTGATTAGATGGATTGATTCAGTGACTGGAGTAATGGGAATAGGTATATCAGAGACAATAAAACTGGCACAGGATAGAGCAGGATTTAGAGCTATTATACATAGGGTTGCTATGAGTCGCAGGCAACTCGATGGCCCATAACATCAGACTACTATGTAAGAAAGTTAATTTCCTGCAAAATCATCCAAAATTATGGATAATGAAGAAAGTAAATTTAAAAATTTAGATGGGACAGAAGGTGAGGATGGGGAGGGGAGAAACCACAGTGTCGTGCAGTTTGGTGGGTGGAGGGAGGGAGTGAAGCAAATGGGAAGGATCCGGAAGAGACCTGAAAAGACAGGATAATGATAGGCAAGGCCCAATGGTGATTAACTTTATAAAACATTATGCATGAGAATGATTATATGAAACACAGTGTGAGTGAAGAATAGTGTGAAACACAATTTTTTGTAAGCAACCACTGTAAAATAAAACCAAAAATATTCAGATGGTCTTCATTAATAACAAAACTAACCTTTTTATAATAAACATTATAGGAAAATCATTGTACAAAAAACATTTTCTTGACTAATGTGTGGGCTATTTGCTATAATAAAGAATCCTATGAAATCAATGTTTTGTATTCCCCGTTCTTTACAAGAGTAAGGTAATAATCAAGTAGGTATCATAATCTGGTTCAACTCACGAGGTGGCAGAGATTTCAAATCAGCATCAAACACTAGTAAGTCCTGTTCTCCTTCCTGGAACTCCACGTGCAGAATGTCACTAAGAGCATCAACAAGTTCTGTCACATTTAAGAAGCCCATTTTTTTTGGTGAAAGTTTCTCTTTAAAAATGTCCTGCCACAAAAATGAAATATTGTTAAAAATAATAATTATGTAATGGAAATATAACATATGCATATGCCCTTAGACAATTAATTTGGTCTTAGCCAAATTAAATTTTAAAGGTTCAGTGAACACAAGTATAATAAAGGCTTTCTTCTATACAAGTATACTACAAACTAAGAAACATTTATAAGAAAGTCAGGTTATGCCATGGTTAAGTAACTGAAAATTGTTCAAATCTACCATATATACTGACTACTTGGGTATAGTGTCCCTACGAGTGAAATAGATGTGAAATTGACTAAATATGTACTTGGTGACTGGCAATCTATTTTGAGTAGTCAGAAAAGGCTTACACCTCAATGTTGTTGTTGTTGCTGTTGTTGTTAGGTGCCATTAAGTCAAACAGGACTCAAAGCAACTCTATGCACAGCTGACTTGAACTCTGCCCTATCCTGTGCCACCCTCATCTCTGACACATGCGAGTCCATTGCTGAAGTCATTTTGTCAGTCTATCTCCTTGGGGGTCTTCCTCTCAAACAATGACCCTCCATCTTTCCAAGCATGATGTCACTTTTCAAGAAATCACCTCACCGAGTTACATGCCCAAAGGGAGTGGTAAGAAGCTGTACTGTATTTCCTAGGGCAAGCAGTTAGAATTTACCAGCTGCTCCGTGAGAGAAAGATGAGAAATCCACTTCTATGAGATTAACTGCCTCTGAAAATCCACTGGAGGGTCAGCTATTGGTTGGTTCCAACTCAACAGTACACAACAACAATAGGTACATGTCCAAGGTATTAAAGACAAAGCTTTGCCTCCAAGAAGTACTCTGGCTGAACTTTCTCCAAGACCTGTTTATTCTTTTGCCTTTATGTGGGATATTCAGTACTCTTCACTTGCACCACAATTCAAAGGCATGAATGATTCTTCTGTTGTCCTTATTCATTGTCCAGCCCTTGATATGTAGCAGGTGACTGAGAAGACTATGGCCTGAATCAGACACACCTTAGTCTTCAAACTGACATCATTATTCTTCAGCATTTTGGAGACTTCCCTCACAGGAAGATCACTGTATATAAAACAATATACTAGCACAATATGCCTTCTGATTTTCTGACTGCTGGTACAAAAGAACTTGACTGTTGATCCAAGCAAGATGAAATCATTGAAAGCGTCAATTCTTTCTCCATCTATCATAATGTTGACTGTCCTGTGGTGAGGACATTTGCTTTCTTGATGTTGAGATGTAATCCATCCCAAAGGCTTGATCTTCCACAGCAAACATTTCATACCCTCCTTTACTTTCAGAGCAAGCAAAGTTGTGTCATCTATATAACACAGGCTGTGGATGTAGCATTTCATGATCCAACCCTGATATAGAATTTTTCTTCAAAAAAGTCCAGCTTTACAAATTATTTGCTCACTATCCAGACTGAATAGGTACAGAGAAAGACCAACCCTGACACACAGCATTCTTGATTTTTAAACCATGCAGTGTTCTCTTCATTTGGAGAGTAATTTTTTGGTCTAGGTACAGATTTTGTAGGAGCACAATTAAGTGTTCTGGGACTCTTCATTTTTCAAAATGTTAGCTATAATTTGTTATGATACACACAGTCAAATGCTTTTGCATAACCAATAAAATATAAATAGATATGCTTCTGGTATTCTCTGCTTTCAGCCAGGATCCATCCGATGTCAGCAATGATATCCCTGGTGCTGTGGCCTTTTCTAAACCCAGCTTGAACTTCTGGCAGTTCCTTGTCAATGTACTATTTTAGCTTTTTAAAAATGATCAACAGTATTTTGCTTGTATACGGATACTCAATAATTTCTACATTACGTTTTTTGGGAATGGGGTTAAATATAGATGTTGTTGTTATGTGCCATCAAGTTGCTTGCAACTCATAGTAACCCTATGTACATGAGCCCTAAACCCTGCTCTTGTGCCAACCTCACTGTCTCCGACACACCCTACTCCCGCTACTCCAATCACTGAACTGATCCATCTCACCGAGGGTCTTTTTCTCCTGTGCCGTTCCTCCACCCTCCAAAACATAAGCCAAGTAGACTAAAGATGTTAACTATCTCAATCTCTTCACCATCCATACTGATGATGCCAATTGGCCCAGTGGTGAGAATCTTTGTCTTCTTGATACTGAGCCTCAATCCATAGTGAAGGCGGCAGTCTTTGACCATTTGCACCAAGCACTTCAAGTCCTCCTCAGTTTCAGCAAGCAGGGTTGTGTCACCTGCATAATGCAGGTTGTTGATGACTCTTCCACCAATCCTGATGCCACATTCCTCCTCATACAGCCCAGAGTCACGGATGATCTGTTCTGCATACAGATTGAAAAGGAATGGAGACGAAATACATCCCTGACGGACTCCTTTCTTGATTTTGAACCATCTAGGGTCTCCCTGCTCTGACGACTGTCTCTTGGTCCAAGTATAGGTTTCGCATTAGCACAATCAAATGTTCTGGGATTCCCAGTCTTCTCAGAGTCAGCCATAGCTCGTTGTGATCCACACAGTCCAAAGCCTTTGCATAGTTAATGAAGCACAGATAGACATTCTTCTGGTATTCTCTGCTTTCTGCCAAGATACCTCTAACATTAGCTATAATATCCCTAATACCATGATCTCTTCTAAACGCAGCTTGTCCATCTATCAGTTCTCTGTTGATATGTTGCTCCAGTCGTTTTTGGATAATTTTTCAGCAGAATCTTACTTGCATGTGATATTAATTACAGTGTTTGATAATTTCCACACTCTGTCGGGTCACCTTTCTTTGGATAGCTTCCTCTAAATTTCCCATCATAAACTGGTGAGCATATCGAGGGTGACGTGTGTTAGCTAAAACATGTCAATTGGTATTATATCAAGTTCTAGAGCCTTATTTTTTTGCCAATTCCTTCCTTCAGGGCAGCTTGAGCTACATCCTTCATCACCACTGGCTCTTGATCATATGGTACTTCCTGAAGTTTTCAGTATCAACTAGTTATATTTTGTACAGAGATCTGGTGTATCCCTTCTATATTCTTTCCATGCTTTCTGGATTATTCAAGACTGTGTTCCTAATCTCTCGGTATTGCAATTTCAGGCTTGAATTTGTTTTTCCATTCTTTCAGCTTGAGAAATTCTGAGCAAGTTCTTCCCTTTTTATTCTATGACTCCAGCTCTTGGCACATTTTGTTATAATATTTTGCTTTATTTTCTCAAGCTGCCCTGTGAAATCTTCTCTTCAGCTCTCTTAATTCAGCATCTCTTTTTGTTTTTTCTCTGCACAGATGATATCTTTGATGTCCTCCCACAGTGCCTCTGTTCTTCAATAACTCATACCTGTTCCTGAGATGATTCTTAAATTCAACTTTGATAGACTCAAAGTTATATTTTGGTTCCTGTGGACTAGTTTTAATTTTCTTAAGCTTCAGTTACAATTTGCACATGAGTAAGTGATGGTCTGGCCCATAACTGGCACCTAGTCTGGCTTTGACTGCTGATAATTGCATTTCTTTCAATGATCCTTTCCACAAACATGGTCAATAAGATTCCTGTGCAATCCATCAGGTGAGGTCCATATGTAAAGTTTCCATTTGTGATTTTTTTAAAAGGTATTTGCTATGAATAATTCAATGAATGCACACAATTCAACTACTTGATCTCCAGCCTAATTTCTGTCATCAAGTTCATACTTTACACTAAGCACTCTTTCCTCACTATTTCCAACTTTTGCGTTCCAGTCACCGAAAATTATTAATGCATTGTGATTGCATGTCTGGTCAATTTCAGACTGCAAAAGTTGGTAGAAATCCTCAATCTGCTCCTCTTTGGGTGAAGTTGTTGGTGCATGTATTTGAATAATAGTTTTTTTAACAGGTCTTCAATTACTCCTGGCTTTGCACTTCAGGATGGATCTTGAAATTGCCTTTTTAAGTACGAACACAATATAACAATTTTCCAGTTTTTCATTCCCAGCATAGTAGAAGAGATTGTCTGAGGCCTATCTCAGATTGTCCATCTCATTTCACCGATGCCTAAAATGTCAATCTTCATGTGTTCCATTTTAATTTTGACAACTTCCTTTTCTCCTACAGTCATATTTTATATATTCCATGTTCAAATTATTAACGGCCATTGGCATCTGTTTCTACTAATTTTTTAGTGACTTTCTATCTGGTCTCAATGTCTAACACTATTGTTGCTGTTGTGTACCATAAAGTCAGAACCGACCTATAGCTGACCCTCAGGTGGGTTTTTTAGTGTCAGTTAATCGCATGAGAGGAGATTGTTCATCGTTCTACCATGGAGATGCTGGAGGCCTTGAACTGCATGCCTTCGGGACTGTAGTGCAGATTCTTGCCACTAGGCCCTAACACTACAAATATTTATATTTATACAATAAATATTTTTATTCTCTTCTGTCTCTTAAAACATATAAAAGTAGGATTAGTGGTGAGCTCTGGTGGCCTAGTGGCAAGAAGGTGCACTGCAATCACAGAGGTGCACAGTTCAAATCCACCAGATGCTCTGCTGAAGAAGGAGGAACCATCTCCTCTACCAGTCAGATCTCATCTGACGGTACACACACAGATAAATGATAAAATTTTTAAAAAATTTGTTTTAAAAAATAGTATTAGTGTGTGTTTCTGGCTGTATACATGCTAGTTGTATTATGTTAGCTGCAAGGAAGACTTTATAGTCTCTATTTCACTCACTCACTCACTCACTGTCACTGAATTTATTCCAACTCACAGCAACCCTTCATCAGGTTTCTGAGGCTGTAAGTCTTAATGGGAAGAGACTGCCCATCTTTTTTCCCAATAAGCGACTGGTAGATCTGAACTGCCAGAAACACACAGCCTTTTGGTTAGTAACACAACACACTACAGATTATGCCAGAGCTCCTTTAGTCGCTATTTAGCGATTACATCTGATTTGAGGAGCTATGACAGGTGTCAAGATGACAAGGAATGGGCTGTGAGGATTAATGTTATTTGTCACCTTGGTTAGACTATCATTCTCTGTGGGTTTGGCAGACATTGCCCTGACTGCTCTTCCATAAGGGAATATAATGTAATCATCTTCCATCTGATGTGAGCACTTAATCAGTTGAAAGTCAATCCTTTCTCTTGTGGATATGTTCTGCATAAAATATATATGAATGTTTGGGCAAAGCTCACTCTGTCTCAAGTCTGCATTAGATTGTCCCAGTTATTAAAATTTGAGCTAGTAGCCCGTCACGTGACATATTCTGGGACTCACAGCTGTTGTCTGACCTGTCAATTCTGAGTTCATCAGTCCCATCAATCACATGTGTCAGGACAATGGTCTAGCCTGACATCAAGTCCAAATTTGCGATGTGCTAAATTTTACAGCAGTGTGAGCTTAATGTGCCAGGTTGCTAATTAAAAAGTCAGCAACTCCAAACTGTCAGCCTCTTCAAGAAAGATAAACAGATCCTCTCAAAAATTTACAGCCTCAGAAATTCAACAGAAGGTTGCTTTGGGTCAAAACCAACTTCAGGACAGTGGAGGGATATATATTTAAATACATACACATATCTCACTGGTCTTGTTCCTCTAGAAAATGCAATCTAAGACAATGACCCTTAGTTTAGTTCTAAATGTCTCAGTTTATTTAAAAACCAAGTTAATTGCCCTATGAAAGATACTCAGAATGTAGTCCAGCACAAGATAATGTATGTATATATATTAACATGATTTTTAAAAATTGGGTAAGATGGCAGTACTTGATTTATCCATTTGCATGCTAATATTTTCATCCAACATTATAATTTCAAAATTGTATCTATGCATTGGAAAGCTGGACAGTGACTAGGGATGATAGAAAGATAATTGATGCCTTTGAGCTGTGGTGCTGGAGAAGAGTGTTGAGTATACCATGGACTGTTAAGAGAACAAACAAGTTTGTGCTGGAGAGGGTGGAGCCAGGCTGCTCCTTGGAGGCAAGGATTCTGAAGCCTTGTCTGACATACTTTGGGCATGTTGCAAGGAAGGACCAATCCATGGAGAGGGACGTCATGCTTGGGAGGGTGGAGGGACAGTGAAAGGAAGGAAGACCCTCGATGAGATGGATCAATTCAGTGATTTGGGTAGTGGGAGTAGGTGAGTCAAAGAGTTGGCACAGGATAGGGCAGGGTTTAGGGTTTGTGTACACAGGGTCGCTATGAGTTGCAAGTGATTCGACGGCACATAACAACAACTTTAAAGTGCAGTTCTAGCTTATGTAATGCACTCAATACATATTATTCAATTAATAAATATGTTGATCTCAATATATGCATCCATTCTTCTACTGGTGACCATTTATTTTATTTCAAGTTGCCAGGTTACCGTGGACATTCCCAGATACATCTGGCATGTGCACACACGGCTGGTATGTAGCATGGGTATACAGAGGTAGAACCACTGGGTCTTTGAGAATGCACATTTTCCACTTAACTAAGTATCTGATGCTGCCAGCATGATGTTCAAAGTGGTTTTATCCTACAAACTTAACTTTTCAGTACACAGATTCTAATAATATAAAACTGACTGCAAAGTAAGAGGTTTAAATATTAGGTCACTGACTTAGATGATAAATGCAGTAGCAACAAAATTTCTATCACTGGAAATAGAAAGCTTAAAAAAATGTGAAAATAGACTCACTTCAAACTCTCCTAGAAGTCTGGACATAAGCAAACCCTCTGGAAACTTTGATACAACCTAATAAACAGAAGATTGGAAACACTATTACATAGTTGTTGGAATGCTGAGGGACAAAATACCAACATACAGACAGCACAAACAAACAAAAAGTCAAAAACTCCAATGTTGATCAAATGAATTAGCATAATGATAATAAAACAAAAAACACCAGCAATTTTCAACATTCCCAGAATTGAGAAATCTGAATTAGTATTATTACAAACACTGAAAGGTCACACTATTTATTCCTATACAATATTTTAAGCTGAGATCACATAAAATTAATATTTCATGAGATATTATAGCTAATATCAGATGGATCTTGGCTGAAAGCAGAGAGTACCAGAGAAATGTTTGTGTTTCACTGACTATGTAAAAACATTTGACTGTGTGGATCACAACAAACTGTAGCTGACTTTGAGAGGAATGGGAATCCCAGAACACTTGATTGTGCTTATGCGAAAGTTATGCTTGAAACAGGAGGCAGTCCACCATCAGAACAGAGCAAGGAAACTGCATGGTTAAAAATTGGGAAAGGTGTGCGTCAAGGATGTGTCTTATCTCCATATCTTTTCAATATATATGCAGAACACATTATCCGGAAGACTGAGCTCTATGAGGGGAAGTGTGGCATCAGGATTGGAGGTAGACTTATCAACAATCTGTGTTTTGCAGATAACATAACCCTGCTTGCTGAAACTTAGGAGGACCTGAAGCATTTGCTGCAAAAGGTCAAGGATTGCAGCCTTCAATATGGATTGAAGCTCAATATCAAGAAAACAAAGATTCTCACCACTAGGCTGACTGGCATCGTCATGATAAGATAGTGAAGAGATTTAGAGTGATGCTTTAGTTTGCTTAGTTTTACAATCAACACTCTTGGTACCAGCAGCCAGGAAATTAAAAGATGAATTGCATTGGGAAAGTTTGCTGTCAGAAACCTCTCCAAGGTACTGAGGAGCAACAATGTCAGTCTGGAGACAAAGGTGTGCCTGATACAGGCCACGGCCTTTGCCATTACTTGCTATGCTTCAGAAGCTAGATAATGACTAGTGATGACAGAAGGAGAGTTGAAGCCTTTGAGCTGTGGTGCTGGAGAAGAGTAGAGTATACCATGGGCTGCTAGGAGAACAAACAAGATGGTCCTGGAGAGGGTGAAGCCAGGCTGCTCCTTGGAGGCAAGGATTCTGAAGCTCTGTCTGACATACTTTGGACATGTTGCAAGGAGCGATCAGTCCTTGGAGAGGGATGTTATGCTTGGGAGGGTGGAGGGACAGCACAGGAGAGGAAGACCCTCGATGAGATGTATTGATTCCATCACTGGAATAGTGGGGATAGGCATGTCGGAGACAGTGAGATTGGCAAGGGACAGAGCAGGGTTTAGAGCTGTTGTACATAAGGTCGCTATGAGTTGCAAGTGACTCAATGGCACATAACAACAACAACATGGCATAACTAGGGAGCTCTGATGGTCTAAGGTAAGGAATTGCATTGCCAACCTAAAGGCACAGAGTTCAAATTCACCAGCTGCTCCAAAGGAGAAAGATGAGTAATCACCTCCTGTGTGATTTACAGCTTCTGAAAATGCCCTGGAGGATCAGCTATGAGTCAGTTCTCACTTGATGGTACATCACAGAAACGATGTAGCATGGAGAGTTGCTGTTGACCCCAAGGTGCCACCTTGATGGCGGTTTGAATCCATCAGCTGCACCGCAGGAAAAAGACTGATTATCTGCTCTGTTATAATTTATAGCTTCCTGAAAATCCACTGCAGAGTCAACTATGAATTGGTTCTAACTCAATGGTAATGAGTTTTTTAGTTTTATAGCATAATTATTGGCATTTAGAATGTTATAAAGAAAAACAATAGACACTAGAGGAATTTTTTAAAACTAAGAGACTAAGGTGCGTTTGATACAGGCCATGGTCTTCGCAATCACTTGTTATGCATCAGAGAGTTGGACAATGACCAAGGAGGATAGAAGGAGAATTGATGCCTTTGAGCTGTGGTGCTGGAGAAGAGTATTGAGAATACCATGGACTGCTAGGAAAACAAACAGATTTGTCCTGGAAAGGGTTAAACCGGGTGGCTCCTTGGAGGCAAGGATTCTGAGGCTCCGTCCAACATACTTTGGACATGTTGTGAGGAGAGACCGGTCCTTGGAGAGGGACATCATGCTTGGGAGGGTGGAGGGACGGCGCAGGAGAGGAAGGCCCTCTATGAGGTGGATTGATTCAGTGACTGGGATAATTGGGATGGGAGTGTCAGAGACAGTGCGATTGGCACAGGACAGAGCGGAGTTTAGGGCTGTTGTACATAGGGTCACTATGAGTCGCAAGTGACTTGACGGCACATAACAACAACAAACAAGATAACCAAGGAGGAAAAAATGCATATAACCACAAATTAATAGAAATATTTCTATTTACTATAAGATTATAACCATTTATAATACATCATAGTATAGAGACATTTTCCATGTAAAAATATAGATCAATTTATGCATAAGCTATGTACTTTTTAAAAGACTCAATATACCTAAATTTGTTTATTCATTCATTTATTTATGGTTGTTTATTTCCTATTATATTTTAACAAATCCCTTTCTTACATTTTTTAAAATTTACACAACGATTTTGAAAATAAACTCTTGAAAAGGGACTTGTTCTATCCAATAATGTATAAAACAATTTAAGACTATCATAGCAACTCATAGCAACCTTATGAATAAAAGGCCTGAAGCCCCTCTACAACTATTGACATTTATTAAAGTTCATAGAGTTTCAACAGGCATGTTGTTTAGGAAGTGGATGCCACTCCTGCTTTCAAAAATATTATATACAAAATTATAATTCAAGGTGTAGGAAAAATAAAAAGGGAATGAACATATTTCAAAATCCCATGATGTTTTATACTTCAGAAATTATCTTTTAAGGGTCTCCTATACCACATTATTCATGATTCAATGTGAAACAATAATACTAAACTTGGTTGGGTTTTTTTTTAGGGTAAATAGTAATGATAGATTTATTAGAAAGTTACATCCCTAAAGGAATGGACCTTCTTCCTTGAAAGGAGATACGAAGACAAAGTCTAAATCTATTTTTGAAACCCAACAAATTGTGGGTTTTATTTGATAGAATTTATCAACCAAAAAAAAGCAATCAAGGTATAATACTACTATATAAAAAGGTAAGCCCACAGAGAATAAATTTTGGAGGATTAACAGGCATTTGATGGAAGGCAGAAGGAAATAAAATAAATGGATAAATCAAGTGAAAGGAAAGGCAGTGCCATCCTTCCAAAAGCATGGAGCATCTAGTGGATTTAAATCACATGCCTTTGGAATTGTAGTGCAGCTTCCTACAACGAGACTACCAGTGGTGCCCCTTGAATGTACAGAAGCTAAAGCAAAAAATCCCCAACATCACCAACACAAAAAAACTCCAGACCAAAACAAGATCAAATAAACGAGCAGAGTATAAAATTTTAAGACAGCTAGGGAAGACAAAGTAAAGTATTATAAGGAAATAATGCAAAGACCTGAAGTTAGAAAAGCAAAAGGGAAGAACATGCTTGGCATTTCTCAAACTGAAAGAACTAAAGTGAAAAAAATTTAAGCTTCAGGTTGTAATACTGGAGGATTTCTGTGGATAAAATCTTGAATAATGAAGGAAACAACAAAAGAAGACACAAGGAATGTACAGTCACTGTATCAGAAAAAACTGGTCAACTGAACCATTTCAGGAAGTAGTACATGATTAAGACTCAATTATACAGAAGGAAGAAATCTAAGATGCATTGAAAGGACTGTTCAGGAATTGACAGACCATAAGTGGTGCTGTTTCAGGAAACAGATGTTTCAGGAAACTGATGTTGCCTTAGATATGTTCACTACTCCATGCCAAGAAATTTTGAAGACAACAGACTGGAAGATATCCATTTTTGTTCCCATTCTAAAAATAATGAGGATCCAATGGAGTGCAGAAATTATTGAACAATATAGTTAATGTCACATGTAAAATAAAATTTTGCTGAAGATTATTTTAAAAAATGCTAGAACAGTATATAGGCAGGGAACTGCCAAAAATTCAAGCTGGATTCAGAAGAGGCTATAAAACAAGGGATATTATGGCTGAATATATATATATATAAAACCCCATTGTGTTTTTTTTTACTATGTGAAACAATTGGCTGTATGGATCATAATAAATCCTCAAATACTTAGTTGTGTTCATGGAAAAGCTATTCCGAGACCATGAAGGTGATCCTTGGAACAGAACAAGACACTACATGGTTTAAAATCAGAAAAGGTACACATCCTTTCTCTATACCTATTCAAGCTGTACGCTGAGCTATTAAGTTGAGAAGCTGGACTATAAAAAAAAAAAAGAAGAAGAAGAAGAAGAAGAAGACTGTGATATGAGAACTGGAGGAAAACTCAACAACCCACATTATGCAGATGACACAACTTGGCTTACAGAAAGTTAAAAAGACTTGAAGCATTTACTATAGAAAACCAAAAACTACAGCCTTCAATACGGGTTACTTCTAAACATCAAGAAAACAAAAATCCTCACCACTGGACTAATAGACAACATCATTATAAATGGAGAAAAGACTGAAGTTTTCAATGGTTTCATTTTCCTTTGATCCACAATCAATACTAATGGTAATGGCCATTTTGAAATCAAAAGATATGTTGCATTGGGCAAATCTGCTGACAAGGACCTCACCCAAGTGTGAAAGAGCAAGGATGTCTGTTTTAAAGACTAAAGTGTGCCTGACCCAAGCTATATATTTCAATTGCTTATTATGCAGATGAAAAGGGCTCTGGTGGCCTAGTATAGAGGGAGAGGTTCTGCTAACCCAAGGCAGCAACTAGGGTGGTTTAAATCCACCAGTGGCTCCAAATGAAAATATGGTAATCTCCTTCCTTATTTTTCTGCTTTGGAAACCCAAAGGCAGGTCAGCAATGAAGCAGTTCTGACCCCACTGCTGTAAGTTTGAATTCACA